ATTAAGTAAAATAGGATCTGGAAAAGGGAATAATAATGTATATTTGTATAACCAGCAGGGATTCCTCAAAAAATTTCCCATTTGCAATCAAAATATACTAAATCTTGCCTTTGCCCTCAATGACATTGTACTAAAAAGAAGCCACAACAACTTTATGCTTAAAGGTCCGAAAGTGTCTTTGAGCTTATCTAAGACCAGATAAAAATTAGTTTTAAAGTCCTAGTAATAGTATATGGAAAACCAATGGCAAGTTAAAGAGGTCATTACCTATGAAAACTAATTGTCCAAAAATACCTATCCATAATCAAGTAGATTGTTCCCATTAATTTGTCATAAATCAGTAAATATGGTATCAGAAATTTGGGAATTTATACGAAGACATTGTCCAACACAGCCTTTATTTCTTTTTTAAGGTGCTGCATCACAAGGTTTGAGGAACAAAGCTTGTTTAGAAGAATTACTTTAGATGACAATGTAACTGCTCAGATGACATAGTGCAGACAGTGTATGATGAAGACACCAACACAAAGCAGGTTAGGGAAAATGTATATTATTGGACAAGGGCTTCAACTTCTCATACTTGGAAATTATACCTAAAAATTGTAATTATATTCTAAAATTATTTGAAATTAATTAGTATATATTTGGTAATGGCACCAACAACGCAAATATTCGAATATGCTTACTATAGGCACCAATTACACGAATATTCAGATATACTTAGTATATACTCCAAGAATATAAAAAAGGTAACTCGAAAAAAGATAAGACTTTTTTCTTATAAAATATCGTGTTCGCCTAACATGTGTGATCACCCAATGGTTATTCCACCTACCTTACTAGAGTTTCATCCCTTTGATACTCCTTTTTCCTTTCCCAAAGTCCCCAATTAGTTTTTATCATGCCTTTGGATTTCATAAGGAGCTTTAAATTCATTTGAAGAAGACTAAGGTAAGATTCTCTACAGTTTCATTCTTTCCCATTTCTTTATCCTTCTTCCTTCA